GGTCTTCATGCTGGGGGAAAAAACCCTGGAAATAAATTGCTTTCTGGAAGAAATAAATTGTTCATCAAAAGCTATCAATCCAAGGCAATAAAATCATTGTCCAAAAGAGCAAGTGCACAATAAAGCAAAGTGAGAAAAGGAATATCATAATGAGGTCTGAAATGTGCTTAAAGATTTAGATCAGCTTTCCCAAACTGCCATTTTCTGATATGTTGCAATGGAGATCCATCACATCAGGAGATGAGCAGCACATGATACAGGTGATGGAAATAATCATCCAAGACATCAGAAGACTGGTGGGAAAAATAATAAGAAAGGGAAACAACATAAATCACAAAGCCCTTGAACTTATAGTTTTTTTTTTGAAAGATGTAAAATTTAAGATTGGGATTTTATTTTACTTTTCCAGCTGTGAAGCAGGAAGTATTGACTTAAGATTTTATTGAAAGTATAGACTTGAGAGGGAAGAAAGTGAAGGGAAAATTTAAGTGTAAAATGTAAAAAAAAATTTTTATATAAAGTTTAAATGTTGAAGGTGGATAGATTATATTTAGAGAAAGTATGGAGTGATTAAATATCATATAGATTTTGAGTAGATATATTGTTTTTACGTATTGCCTTATTAGAGTTAAAGTAGGTATATATTGATAGTATTATATTTGTTTAGTTAAATGGTAATTTAGATATGGAATGGGATGTGTTTCAATCCTGTATTTGGTTCCGGGAAGCTCAGGGGGGGAAGGGGATTAGGGGTAAAAAAAAATGATGTATTTACATGTTATAGGTAAATAATAATTGTATTGATAAGAGGAGATGCTCGGCTGGTATCCCAAATTGCACTCGAGGAGGTGGTCAGGAAAGGAGGGGATGTAGAAGTGGGAAGGAGGAAGGAGGAGAGGTTGTGGGTCAGAGGGAGGAAGGAAAGGAAAGTGGATGAGGGCGGAGGCAAGGCGGGGACTGCCGAGCGTTTCCGACAATGTATTGATTTGGATTGTTTTTTATGCTTGCGTATACAAATGCATCATATTATTTATTGTTTAATTATAAAAATCAATAAAAATTTTATTAAATAAATAAATAAATAAATCACAAAGCCCTTAATAGGTTTGAGTTGTACAGTTACAAACCTTGAGAGAGATTTGAGAGAATGTAAGATTTAAAAACTTTCAGTTCACCCTATCAGTCAGTAAAGCAACAGGGAAAATGAGTGTATGGACAATAAATGGATATTTGCTTAGTTCCTTGCCATGTTTAAAGCAAAATTTTAAGGCTCTTTTTCCCAAAATGCTGCTTTAAGATTTTATTATTAGAAAAAACAAGATTGAATATGAGCATGGGATATACCCAACATTTGGGTTATGGGACATATGGGGGGGGGAATTGGAGCTTTATTAATAGCTTGCAATGAAGATACTCAGTGGATAAGATTGTAAAATAAAGACATGAATAATACAATAGTTGGTATTCTTCTTATAATCTTCCCTTAATCCTTCCTTCCTTTCATTTAAATTCCTTAAAAATATTTTATTGTTTATTCCCACATGCCATTACATCAGGTTCGTTAAACCAACCAACCAACCAACCAACCAACCAACCAACCAACCAACCAACCAACCAACCAACCAACCAACCAGATAAATGAATAAATGAATAAATGAATAAATGAATAAATGAATAAATGAATAAATGAATAAATGAATAAACAAATTGTTATTATCTCTCTTTAATGGCTATTTTAAACTGTTGCCTTAAAGTAATTATAAATAGTTCATTCAAAATAAGCATAAAGCAGAAGCTAGCAACTTTTGTTGGTCCGTAACCTGTCACAATGGTTTAAATCTTACAATACAGCCATACATCATACCAAGATTTTATATGAAATTCTATTGAAATCTCATGAGATTTTTGACTCACAAAATGTCGATAGTTCTGCATAAAATCTTGGAAAGATTTGGGCAATTTTTATTTGACAGTGAGAAGGATTTCTGGGGAGTCATGGGGATGCTCACTTATTAGCAAAATGTTATGGGATGAATCCAAAAGACCTCTTTTTAAAAATATTTCTATCACCCCTAGTATCAGAACTTTAGTCCAAAGATGGTTGCGATGAAGACTTTTCCTTCATCAGTTGATTGCTGGCAACATTTTGAGGATGAGCTTCAAAGGAAACTAGGATGAAAAATTTGTTTCAGTAAAGGAATATGGAATGTATGGAATTAGAGGCAGTTCTTATTAGGCAGAAACCATTCCAGCTGGGACGATCCCTTTCTGTATTCAGAAATTCAGATGAAGGGATCATTGGAAAATACTTAGGCCTTCGAACAATTTCTTGTTCCTGTACATCAGTTTAGAATTTCCATGCATACATGATATTAACTGATAAAGCAAATCTTCAAAATAAGGCCATTTTCTTACTTTCAGAATTATTTATTTAAGATGGTAATATCAGCACCTCATAAAAAGCCCATCTTCACAGACTTGTTTGAGAACTTTTGAATTATTCAGAACAAAAAGTAATTCAACTGTTTCTACTTGTTGCAATTGAACATATTTATTCATTTTACATCCTGCCTTTGTAGCAGAACAGCCTTTAAACAGCAACTGTCACCCAAGAAGATTGTGTTGCAAAGCAATAAAAGAATGGTAATTATACAAGGAAAGTTTACCTTTTGCAGCAATCCAAACAATACTAATAACAAGAAATGAAAATCGTTTGAAAAAATCAATTTGGTATATTCATAATTCTTATAGTGTAAACCTATGTTAAAACCAATGTCACATTGACACATTGATTTGAATGGGGCTGTCTCCCAAACAAATGAATCCAGCTTACTGATAAAACTAATAAATGAAAGAAACACAAACTTAAAGGATCGTAGCTTAGCGGTTTAGAAACCACATAACAATACTGGGCAACAGGACCTTGAGAAGAGTGAATTGTAATAGCTGGGGGTGGGGCAAAACAGTGAGGATTAGCTAACCTTAAGCAATTTAGGACCTTTGTCCCCAGGGGCACATCAATCTCAACGAGCAACAGGCAATTTTCAACAGTTGTATAGGTTTATTGATGCACAGGTCCATATAACTCCCCCTTTAATAGCCTTCTTAATTCCAGCACAAGCTAGGTAGAGCTATCCAGAACTACCTTATCACTAAGGTAAATAGAGAGATACTATCTCTCTATTTACATTAGTTACTAAAATAAATTTGACCCATGGCTCCTCATTCTCAGATATATTCATGTCTTCAAATCAGCAAAAAGAAATAGTAAAACTAGAAGAGTGAAACAAAAGAATATGAAGCAAGACAGAAATGTATTCAACTGAGTTGAACAAAGAGAACTGAATTAATCAACCCTTTTCTTTTTTTAATACTATCTGGCAAAACAATGTTGGATTTTGACCAGCAATTTTCAGTTAATACAGTTCTAGAGAATATTGTGTTACTCCCTTTTTAGATGGAAGACATTGAGATATTTTTTTTCCTGATCTCTGGAATGATATCTTTATGTACCAATATGCCATAATTTATCCCTCAAAATGAGCACTTTGGTTTTTGATCTTGTTTCTTATGATTTGGGTTTTGGTCTCATATCCTCCCAACCATTCCATTACCACTTTTGATAAAATATCCCTGACCTGGAAGGAATATCTTCCTGGTCATTTTGCCATGATTTTTCATCCATCACTCATGCGACAAATAATTAAATATATTCATATACGCTACTGATTAAAACATGAAGCCTTTTGGGGGTCGATTAAGTTATATTGTCACATATTGTCTAGATCAGGTGTCTTCAAACTTGGCCCTTTTATGACTTGTGAACTTCAACTCCCAGAATTCCTCAGCCAGAGTGCCTGGCTGAGGAATTCTGGGAGTTGAAGTCCACAAGTCATAAAAGGGCCACGTTTGAAGACATCTGGTCTAGATCCATCATAGCGAATGGGCAATAAGCCCATAGCTATACTTAGCCACTGAATTTAGGAGTATCTGAAGAAAAGCCACTAATGGTGATCACAGGCAGAAGATTGGTACATTTAGTGCAAAGCTGCCTTTCAGTAATCCAAGTCCCAGATGATTTACAACAGAAATATACACACAGAATACAAACAGAGTTGAAAGGGACTTGGAGATCTTCTAGCCCAACCCCCTGCTCAGGCAGGAAACTCTATACCAAATGGTTGTCCATCTGATGAACTCAGATCTAATGATGCCCCCACCAAGTGTTCCTTGGGAAACACTTTTCAATTTCTCTTGTTACTCTAGTTCAGAACTTAATCACTTACCTATCAATTATCAAATGGGTCCGGCAGTATTCAAAACTTGAAAGGACAATCCCTGTTTATCCTAAATTGGACCTGAAACTTGCAAAGATTTCAGAGGAGTTATACATTTACTTTCTGAGACTAAAGCAATTATAGTCCAAAAACGTACCATTCTATAGAAATATATGTTAAAATAAAGGTTGAATAATAAAGTTAAAAATCTGGTAAATTAAAACCATCATCATCATGATAGGACCTCCATTTTGCTGTCCCCCAAAAAGAGAGAGAGAGAGGGAAACTGGTCCTTAGCTTGCCATATAAATATTTTCAATAGTTTACATATTTGTGTAAAATATATAATAGGACTTAATACTGGAACCCCTCTTAAAATATACATTAGTCTATATGCAATATGATGGAAGTTATATATGAAAATGCATATTAATTTTTACAAAGAATTTTCTGTTGTGGGATTATGGAATTCGATGTGATTTTATGGGGCAAAGCAAGCCTAATCAGGAAATGAAAACAGTAAAACATTAACCTATGGCTACCTCTGCATGTAGGCCATACACTATCTGCTAAATAAAAATTTGAAGTGGCCTTTAGATTATTATAAGCAAAACCAAAATGTAATCCTCATGATTGTCAGCCCCCGCCCCAAATATTGTAGACTAAGTAAATGCTGTATTTGGTATATATATAGGTGAAATGGTTCTTGGCTCTTTCCTTAGCTTACTCCAAGTCTTTCAGTTCATTGTAGAGTTTGATGAGATTCTGCAGTTCCTCGTCAAGTAAGCTTGCCTTTTTTCTTATCTCTGAAGCCAGTTCTGCTTTGCCTCCCTTCATCAAATGTTTAGCATCTTGGACAAGGTCATAGGCATCAATCAGGAGAAACATTCCAGCTGACACAGCATTTAGCATCCTAGCTCCTTTGGTCATAACAAGGGTAGGTCCACTGAAAGCTTTTTTAATATCTTTTGAGTTCTTAAACCTATTCCAGGACCTCCTTCCTGCATTAGCTGCTTGCTTTGCTAAAGTCTTCAAGTGTGTTTCAATAGTCTTCAATGCCTTTACATTTATTTTAATCCTCTTTGTAGCCATTTTCATGTCAGGAATCTGACCAGAAATATTAGAGACAAGGTTCCTGACATTCTCCCTTATCACTCCATTATTTGGGGTCAGCTCAGTGCTGGAATATATTGTAAGAGGCTGCACCGAGTTTCTTAGCGAGAAGAGTGTAAGTAAGTACTCTGGAAGTCGAGAGAAGGAAAGAAAACTTAACTATTATAAGAGTATATTTCGACGTCTTTCCGGCTAGCGACACCGAGGACGAGGGTTCGGTTAGGGTCACCGACAATCCTAATTCGAGGGTGGACGACACTATCCTCGGTTCCAGTTGGGGTCCTACCAGTTCTACGGTCTTCACGCACTTGTAGAACTGGAAACAAGGCTGGCAGTGGCGCAGCCTTTGTGGATCCTGTCAATGTGGTTTGTCACTTCCTGGAGGCAACGGAAGCACTCTTCAATCTTTTTTTTCTGGGTAGGAAATTCTTTCACAAAATAGTCTCTAGCTGTTTCTTCCTGAAGCATCTTTCCTTTCTTTCTGTAAAAAAAAAAATCAAAGTAACATATTTGTTTGTTTAAAAAAATATTAAAATATGATAAACTTTGTGGACTTTTGCCATGTTTTTCTACATCATGACTCATATCCAAGACCTGAGTTAAGAAAAAAAGATTGAAAGCAAAAGAACATTTTGAATCTATTTATTTTTTTCAAAAAATTAGAAGTCTGACTTCTGTGACAGTTTCTCAGTCATTAGAGTTTCTCAGTTTCTCGTCTGAAATGGGAAGAATTCTGATTTTATACAAATTTGACACTAGGTCCCTTCTCTTGCTGCCTCATCACTCCTTCCGACACTAGGATTTCTCAGTGTTAAAAAGACCTAAAATGAATCATAGCAGAGATTTGGCAGGCAGCTGGCAAAAATGGATTGAAACACTTAACAAAGGGCTTTTTGAAGGGTAAATAAAATCCCTGACAGGACTGGGACAACAGCTGCCACCCTTCCATTTCCTCGATCACATGCAGGCAGTATGCAGAATGAATCTTGGAGTACATCATTTTCAGAGCATTCCAAAGAAAAACAGGTAAGATTGCTTTTTGCTGTCCTTGCATTTTAATCCAGGGAGATCTCAGGCAAGGTCTCCAACTCAAATGTACTATCTTCAACAAACTAATTGACTTATCATCAAATAATATATACAATGCACCTTACTCCCATCAATATTTAACTAATATCCAAGAAAACAAATATTTAAGAAAAAAGACATGAAACTAAAGAGGGAGGAGAGAATGAAAAAGTGGAAAGAGGAATGCAACTACTGGATAATCACTTTAAATCCCAGTGCAGACTTGGAAAAAACCATCAAACATTTTCATCTTGCCTTTATCAATTAAACACTAATTTGTTTATTTTGCCAAGTTACCTAATGAAGGGTTGTCTGAAGCAGATATATTTTAAAAGCAATGTGAATTGTGCTTTTTTATATTAACTTTTGAGAGAATTTCCTATTGAAGTCATGTTTGATTTATAATAAAGTTAACTAGTTTGTAGCCCAACCCAAGCAATTATGAAAACAACCTATGGCCTGGACTGCTGCTAAAGGCACAACTTCCATAAAGTGATCATTGGAGATGATGAGATATTTTCAAAGATACTACAAACCAGGATGGTTCATAGTGCACTAATGATTTTACATAAAGGATTGTATTCTGGCAGAATCCTTATCATTGGCAAATTATAATTAGTTCACAGGAACTCTTTAAAGCCCTACATGGTTTGGAACCAGTTTATTTGAAGGCTTGCCATTTTCCAAGAGTTTCTACCCATCCAACCCAATGTAGCAGATCCTGTCAGCTGATAGAGACTACAAGACAAGCTTTTCCATAGTGAATTCTGCTCTATGGAATATCCTCTTTTTAGAGATCAGAATGGCCCCAACCCTTTTAGCCTTTTGTAAGACTCTAAAAACCTGGCTAGGTTTCCAGAATGCTTCCTGGAGTGCTGAATATGTCAAGGATCCCATTTCCTGGTTATATTGCTAACTGATCAACTATCTTGGCTGCTATGTATATTTATTTGGAATGTTTTTATTGTCTTAAAATGTTTCAGTATCTTAACTGTAATATATTTTTAAATTGTTTAATTGTAAGGTGTGTAAAGTCATTGACTGAGATGGGCAGCTATAGAAATTGAATGAATGAATAAATAAATAAGTCAAAATTCATTAATCAGGGGAATTAATCAGCTGATATTGAAATTCTAAGTAAGGTATCCTCTGAAATCTTTAAATTAAACTTGATTATAATCACCTGTGCTTGCTTAGCCTCTTCAATCGTTGATTTGCTATAATTCTGTGAACTGAAGTCCCATCATAAATGGAGCTTGCCAGGTTGGGCAAGTTTGATCTTTTGGATATATCTCTTTTCATACATTCTTGTATACATGTTAATCCACTTGTCAGTAGCACTGTATTAGAAAATGGACTGTTTTCAATTTAGCCATCATACTTATGTATTGATGCAAGTAGTTTTCCTTCTCATGAATGAAGGCAAATATACGTGTCCCAGGATAATGTTGCAGGATCCAATCTGGGTCGGTCACTGGGACCAGAGGTTTAGTCTTCCAAGATTTCAGACTTGTGTTGAAGCCCATCTTCAGGGAACTTCTCTCTAGCAGTATTCAGAACAGCACATACTCTGCTAAGAGAGACGTTCCCCTGAAGATGGCTTCAGCATGAGTCCGAAAGCTCGGAAGACAAAATCTCAGGTCCTGGTAACCGACCCAGATGGGATCATGCAGTTTCCCTTCTTTCCAATATTTTCTTTATTAAATTTGATGGTTACAAGAAATAGGGGAGGTTTTTGTTTTTTTTAGTTCTGAGCTTAAGTATCTTACTATTTGTTTGACTAACCAATTGGAATTCCTGCTGCAGAATATCAGTGTCTCTCTTTGCCTGCAGAACAAACTGGAAAATTTGAGGCATGCTTAAAAAAAAATTCATAAGAGTTTATCAGCCATTATCTGTTTACTGCTTAAACCTTCCTTTTGGTGGTTCTTTAATGCTGTAAAAGATAATCACCTCTAATTACCGACACGAGGTCCCCTTTTCGCCGATTAAACCCCCTCCAGTTTTAATTCGACGTCTCGTTTAACTATCATTTACAACATATAAGTGAACCTTGTTACGGTTTAACTTCACGTACGTATCTTGAACCCGATTGAGAACAGTTGAAAGATGCTGAGACATCAAACTTAACAATTTGCTGCCATGTATTGAACAGATGTGTTTGTTTTAAAGTGTCACATTCATGATGTGCCACATATGTACAACATCCAAAGTATTTCTTCTGAACCATTTTCAGAACATACACAGCTGTTCTCTTTTATGTATATGTCTGAAAAGAATTATTGTCAACTGTTTTGCTTGATTATTAAAATGAGTGCTGCTTTATTAAAGGTAATCATTTAAATGCAATAGCAATAATTATATGCCTTATTTCCTCTCTCTCCTTGCCTCCCCCCCTTTCAAGATCACTGAGAACAGTACATCCATAATGTATATTTTTCTAAAAGACTCCCATGGCAGTGATTGTTGCTAAATTGGTTGGTGTGACTCAACTTCTCTTTCTTGCTAAGACTGTTAACATTCATCCACCTTCCCTCTATAGCTTGTTTTCCTTGAAAAGAGTATGATGATAAGAAAAACAAATGGTGGAGTTTGGAATCTCTCAGGCAGATCCATGAGCAAACAGTCTGCATTCAGGGATACAATAAATAAAGATATGCTGGCAAAATTGTTATATTCAGCAAATCCCCACCAATAGCATTTTAAAGAAAAGTTAAAGTTGCAGCAGAGGCTGATTTTAGTTGAAAGCACAAGAAAATACTTGCTGCCAATGTGTGGCAGCAGATGATTTCCCTTTATTTGTTTCCCCTCTTGGAATGGAGGTCAACAAGGACCAACATTATTTTTAAATAACATTTAGAGAGCAGTAGCATCTTTCTCCTGATCGTTATTTTTTCTATTTTGCATATAATATGCATACTGTATATTCTTGGTTGATCGGAAATTGATTCTATAATCCTTTCTGGATTATAGTAGGCTAACAATATAGTAGGTCAACATATGAGAAGGTAATAAACATAAAAGGTGATATAGGTTCTGGGTACTACCAAGAAGTATGGTCTTTCTTCAAAACCCACATGAAGAGATTTTGTTGATAACATTTTTGGGGCCTTTGAACCAAACTGAAAGGGAGGAGAGAGAGAGAGAGGAAGTAACTGAAAATTGTCTTCTGTGCATTCAAACATCCAAATAAACAGTGTACATGCAGTAAAACAGATGATGAAGCTACAACCATCAAATATATAGAAACTGGAATATTTTGAGCCATTTATCCAGACCCAGAAATATGCTTCAGATCAGGTTTTGCTATAGGACTTGCAGAGGTGATTTAAAGGGAAGTTAGAAGATCTGAAGATGGCTCATATTTGAAGGGTAATCTATTTCTAGACCATTTTGAAGATGAAGTACTCCAAGACTCACTTGAATGGGTCCTAGAAATTGCCCATCAGCAGTGAAGACTATACTATACAGCAGACCAAGCAGGCAATAAACAAATTTGGAGAACAAATTTGGTGTGTATCAATTTTATATCCTTATTTATTTTTTAAGGGTTTATGCTTCATTTTATTCAATGTCGTAAGCCACCTGGAGTTGCCTTTGGCGAGATAGGCCGCCTACAAGCTTCATAATTAACTAAATATACCGTATGGCATAAGATATGTAAGCTCATTATTAGCTTCAGAGGTTTCTTTTTTAAAAAATCTTTTTTTATGTTGCTGCATAATACTGTTTCTGCATACTGTTTCTTGCACTGGGTTTGCAAGTTGTCAAGGAACAATGGGTTCCATTTTCCCAGGAAACCTGCTTAGAGAAAAAAAAAAATACATACATGGATGGGATCCATTATGCTTATAATATTTTAAAGGAACAGCAAATAACACACCTTTGCCCCACAACTTTATGGCAAGTTTTAAAACAACCAATTTAATAGATTTTAATTAGTTCTAAAATCACAGACACATAAATTAAGAAAAACTTTTATGGAGAAACATCTGAAAGTTATTTGAATTGTTATGGCGATGATTGAATCAATAACTAGAATGAGAGAAATTGGACTCATTTGTAGAGTGGCCTGCATCATCTATAATGTCAGAATGATATCTCCAAGAATTCCTCGGCTGACTGGGATTTCAAGATCTAGTAAAACTACTGCAGGGTATCAGACTGGAGAAGGCTTTCCTGGGGTTCTAGGGATCCAAAAATTGTTACATACCAAATTATACTTGTCTCCACAATTTCAATACTAGATTCAGAGATGGATATACACCTATGATAACTATATGTAACAGCAACCCTGCAGTGTGAAAAGTGAACTTTGTCTCCATTTCATTCTCTTTCCAATAATGTCCAAAAAAAGCTATTGTTTAGGGCCACAAACATAGGCAAGACTGCTTCTTAAATTGCTTGCTGGAA